ATGACCGTAACGAGACTATGTACTATAAGGTCAACGAATTGGAGGATTCTCTTTTGATGTGCTTGCTTTGAGGCTATTTACCTTTAGTTTACATTGTTTTGTTAAATGTGTTTTAGGTTTTGATTGCTAATATTGAGGAATATGCGCCTATAGTTTACACGCCTACGGTTGGTCTTGTCTGCCAGAACTACAGCGGGTTGTTTAGGAGGCCTAGAGGAATGTACTTTAGCTCTGAAGATCGTGGTGAAATGATGTCTATGGTTTACAACTGGCCAGCTGAACAGGTCTTACATACATCTCTATTATGTTTAGCTGACTAATCCTAAGCCATAACTACTCTCTGTCTCTTTGATTTATCTTTTAGTGATCATTAGTTTTCTGATGTTTATGTTTAGGTTGATATGATTGTTGTTACCGATGGAAGCCGGATTTTGGGTCTTGGAGATCTAGGGATTCATGGAATTGGGATTTCTGTTGGGAAGCTTGATTTATATGTCGCAGCAGCTGGAATAAATCCTCAACGGGTACTTGCAGCATCTTCTCTATTCCTACTTTCCCCACTCACTTTTCTCAGTGATAATGGGATACCATACTTGTGTGGAAATGTTGGTTTAGGTACTTCCTGTCATGATTGATGTTGGAACAAATAATGAAAAGCTACTCAAGGACCCCATGTGTAAGATTCATTGCACCTCTTGAGTTACCTGTTTCAATGTTTATTATTAGAAGATGATATGATAGATTAATAATGGTTTTCTTTCGTGGTGCACAATACAAAAGAAGGGGTTTTTTTTTTTTTTTCCAAAGACGTAATATAACTGTTGCTGGTGTTTTGAGATTTTACTACGGTAAAGCATATTGATTGTGTATCACTTTACATATGGACATATCGAATGTGTATTTTGTATTAGTTTATGCATAAGTAGTCATAGATACATACATATATATATATATATATTATTTAATGTTAAAGGTTTGTAGTATTGTGTAGGAGTCTAATTCTGATTTTTTTTCCGTTGAAGTCTTGATTCTTGAAGCAAAATAACTTGGTTGTACGACTTATTACTTTTGTCTTTGAATTTTTAGGGGTTCCAGTACTACAGAGAAATGTTTTAGATTAGCTTATTATCTGTCATGTTATCATTCTTTCTGTGTTTTTTCTTTCTTGACAGACTTGGGTTTGCAGCAACATCGTCTAGAGAATGACGAATATATAGACGTAATTGATGAATTTATGGAGGCGGTGTTTACAAGGTGGCCACATGTTATTGTGCAGGTAAATGATCCTTCATAGATGTCTGGTATATAAAATGTTCCTTATCTTAAAACTTTTATTATTTCTTACCCACAGTTTGAGGATTTCCAGAGCAAGTGGGCTTTCAAGTTATTGCAGAGGTATAGAAACCGCTACCGAATGTTTAACGATGATGTCCAGGTAATGAGCCTTCCGCCTTAGTTAGATTCTTGTGAAGATGAATTGCCATTATTTGCTTTTATAGTACTTGAATTTCGTTAAATGTGTTAGTTACTTGACTTTTGTTAAGGGCTACTACGTTTGAATTAGTTAGCCGTGACTATGTTTAAAATATTGTATTTAATGTGATCAAACTAGCATCGTATCTCGTTCAATAGTTATTCTTAACCTTCACTATATGACCAGATGCATTATAGAGACAATAGGAAGAGAACTGAAAATCTAAATACTGATGCCTAAATCTTGGGTTTCATACTATTACGTCTTCATGATATGCCTTAGGGGACAGCCGGGGTTGCGATTGCTGGTCTTCTTGGAGCCGTTAGAGCACAAGGCCGGCCGATGCTTGATTTTCCAAAGATGAAGATCGTTGTTGCTGGTGCTGGAAGGTAAGCCGTTCTCTGTTTCTATTTGATTGTCTTTCCTGTTCCTATTTTACCCGAGATTTTTACTGGTAAAATGGTGCTGGGCTTATTGTTTATTTATTTATTGGTCGATATTCCTATTTTTCTCTTTTAGTATGATTTGAATCCAATGGATGGAAACTTCCAGTTACATCACTATGGGGCATCACTGCATTAATCCAAGTTGATGTGATTGCATTTATACAAAGAAACATGAAGTAGCTAAGACTAGTTATATCTGAATACTGACGTTGTCAAAATTTATAATTTTTGTAGTGCGGGAATTGGTGTTCTAAATACCGCAAGGAAGACAATGGCACGGATGTTGGGAAATACTGAAACTGCGTTTGAAAGTGCACAGAGTCAATTTTGGGTGGTTGATGCTCAGGTATGTTATGGGATCTTAGGGAGCTCGTGAGAAGTATTTCATCAGAAAATGCATTTCCTCCAGTTTTATTACTAGCCATATCACTTCATCATCTGTTTTTCTTGGCGTGCGTTTTGTGCAATAGCTTAAGAAGCTGAAGATGTTAACTCCTTTTGTTGCATTTAATCAGGGCCTTATCACTGAAGGACGAGATAATATTGACCCAGAGGCTCTGCCATTTGCTAGGAAGACCAAAGAAATGGAGCGTCAAGGATTGAGAGAAGGAGCAAGTCTTGTTGAAGTGGTCTGTATACTAAATCTAAGTTGGCAATGAGTTTTGTGGTTGATAGAAATTCACCTTTTCAGAAAGTTCTGCTTAATACAAGCAAGTAACTAAACGTTTTTCGTTTCATCTGACTAGGTTCGAGAAGTCAAACCTGATGTGCTTCTGGGTTTGTCTGCAGTTGGAGGGTTATTCTCAAAAGAGGTAAACAAAGTTCTCAATGCCTAAACATTGCAGAAAAAGTAGGATTTTGGTGCTATGCTACAGAATCAGTGATCTAAATATTAGGGTCCATTACGATAGTTTCTTCAGCCACCATTGTCTTTCATTATCTGATTTCTAGGGTAACTGCTAGTTAGATGAGCTAGCAAATAGAATCTAGCTCCCACAGCTCTTAGTGAGGCTTTGCTACCTCTTACTTTCATGATTCTAACATGTTGATGTTTGTAAGGTTTTGGAAGCCATGAAAGGTTCAACCTCGACCAGACCAGCTATTTTCGCAATGTCAAACCCTACCAAAAATGGTAATTTGTCCCCTTCGTTTGAGCTGAAATGTGGTTTGCGGTTGATTCCTTTCGGAATTGATGTCTTTGTTACTTGTGCTTAAAATTTCAGCTGAATGCACGGCTCAAGAGGCATTTTCTATATTAGGCGACAATATCATTTTTGCAAGTGGAAGCCCTTTCAAGAATGTGGATCTTGGTATGTATAAGTATAGCTACATCATTTGTTACACGCACTTTTATATGAGATGAAAAACCTGATTGCTCCTATAATGTCAGTTTTATGTTATAAATTGTCGGCTCTAAATATTTAATTACTCCGAGGCTTTGTTTTAATATATTAGTACTTTTCCTTGTTGCAGGGAATGGTCATGTAGGACATTGCAACCAGGGAAACAACATGTACCTATTTCCCGGGTTAGTTCCGCACACTCTTCACTGGATGCATTAACGGTCATTAAAAAGGAAATTTGATTTTCTTATATTGAAAAATTTCTTATGTAGTATTGGACTTGGCGTTCTTCTATCTGGTACTCCCATTGTCTCTGACGGTATGCTTCAGGCTGCAGCTGAGTGGTAAGCACTTTTCAGTACAAACTGCATTTATCTTTCATTGTGACATGAAATATAACACGCTCTAATTCTAATAATTTTGAAGACGACAGTCACATATTTGGCTGATGTCACGTACTATAACTTGCCTTCACCCCAAAAGAATACCAGTGTTGTTAGATTTTCACATACGATATAAAACTCGTATTTATGGAGATTTAAAACAAAAAAAAAACCATCTCATGTTTTGTGAATACTGCAGCCTAGCAGCATATATGAGCGAGGAAGAAGTGCTAAAGGGGATTATATACCCTCAAATATCAAGGTAACCCAATAGAAGAACGTTCTGAGACGTTACATAAGAAGTTATGGTCTGCTAGAAAATGTTATATTTGACAATTGAGTTGAAATTGCAGCATACGAGACATAACAAAGAGAATAGCGGCTGCAGTGATTAAGGAAGCGATTGAGGAAGATTTGGTTGGTGGATATAGAGAAATGGACGCTCGAGAGCTCAAAAAGCTTAATGAGGTAATTCAGCTTTGTATTTTCCGCGTAGGGAGAAGACTAAGTTTGGTTTATATGTTGGGAACAAAAGGGTTGTGATAATAGAATGAATAGAACATAAAAGATTTTACAATTATCCCAAAACTAGGGTGTGGGGGATTCAGGGTTTGCGGTTTGGTTAAGGTTCAAACCAAAATGTCAGTTATGCTGATGTGAGTGAGCTTGTGTATTCCTCAGGAGGAGCTGATGGCTTACGTGGAAAACAACATGTGGAGTCCGGAGTACCCGACTCTGGTCTACAAAGACGACTAAGTTTGGTTCCTAAGACGAATAACTCTGCTTTCTCTTTTTTTTTATTTATATGTGCAAATGATATATAATGGGTTGCTTCATACCCAATCAGATTCATAGTTGTTCGAAAACGGGCGGTTGGTCTACGCAGTTTATCATAAATTAAACGGTACATCTTGTTTCCAGCACATCTTGATGCTTATATTGTGTCCTATCTATATGTAAAAATAAAAATATAAAATTCGTTTGTTTTTAACCCATCAGGTTTATATTTGCTGCGACCATAAGAGTAAGCAGTTCACTTACAGATTTGATAGACCAGTTTAGCAATAATCAGGCCATGAATATTATTTTATTTAATGCACTTATACAATTGAAGATAACTGTGTGTTATTTGACTTGCTACTTATGATCTTGTGTGATTCAGTCTATAACATAATCCAAAAATAATAATCAAGAAGTATTCTGTTACACAAAATATAAGTATACTGAAAATAATAATACCAAGGTGTATGTATCTAATGTGTCTATATAGCAACAATATAAGCATCAAGATGAACGGGAACAAAAAACATAATATACTATATAGAAACAGGAAAAGGAAAAGAAAATTAATGTCTTACACTGACCACTGTCCAGTGGGATCAATGTTATCATGCTGCTGCGGGAACTGTTTTTGCAATGATTCAGGAGAGAAAGGGAGATTAGGAAAAGGTTGATGATCTGCGGGCAGAAATGGAGAAGGATGATGATGAGAGATGTAACTAGTACATGAAATGTTGTTATGGTCTTGTTCTTGAAACTGGAAATGATGGTTATGTTGTGGTTGTTGTTGTTGATGTCTTTGTTTCGGGCTATTGACTTTGTCTCCTTCGGTTTCTCGGTATTTCCCGAGATAGATCTTTAATGGAACCACATAGTCTTCGAAACCTAGAGTGGTAATGGCCCAAATGATATCATCTCCATTGATAGTTTTCCTCTTCTCTCTTTGACACTTATCAGAAGCTTCACCAGTGACAAAACTGATGAATTCTGATACACATTCTTGAACGGTTTCTTTGGCATCTTTCGAGATCTTACCGTTTCCAGGAAGAATCTTTTTCATGATCCTTCCGACATTAGCAATGGGAAGGAACCGGTCTTGTTCTTTATTGTTGATGTTGTTGTTCTTTAAAGCAGGGCTTCCTGGATTTGTTTCGGCTGTTTCAGGAGATTCATGATCCTCCTCTGGGCTCTCCTCAGTCATCTTTTTTTTTTCGTGATATGTAAATACATGCATCTGATGGATATGATTTTATGGTTAAGCTTAGTGCATGAAACTAGGCAAATTGCCTATTTATGGATGTCCTGCCAAATTTGGAACTCCTTGCGACCCGCTTTTATTTTTCATTTTTTTTCCTTTTCTTAATTAGTATCATTGATAAATAAACGTTTAAATTTATTAATGAAAATGTAATAGATTATATTTGTAAACTTATACCTATGATCAAATGTAAATAGGACATATTATAGCTTCGGGAGGGAATAGACCAGAAAGGAGTAACGATCACACATGTTATTCTCTTGTAAATACTCATCTGAAATTTAACTCGACCGGTTGGATCAAAACTGTTATACACCTCCGTACCATTCAACTTGGATGCACCAAGCTCATGGACGGCTTTAAATCTATATCCCAACAAACAATGAGTTTTGGGCGCCAAAACATTAATTAAATTTTGGATCGACGAGCTATTTCCCCACGAGAACTATCATGTGATATATTTTAGAACTATAAAGAGTTTTAGACACCAAAACGTTAGTAATAAATATATTTTCAAATATTTTAGACTATTATTTATTACCAAAATAATTATTTTTATTTGTTTTACGATTTTTATGGTTTCTTATACATATAGCTTTCTAGTCTTATGGTTGTATTCAGCGTATGATTTGATTAGTAAAATTGAGAATTTTCTCTTTGTTTTTTGTTCTCGGTATATCTATAGAGATTTCTGCGAATTTAAAAAGACATTAATCTTAGGCGTTCAAAGACTAAATAAAATCATTATTTTATCGTAGCTTCCGCTAGGGCACAACTTCATGGTCGTACATAAAATCTTCAAGCATGTAAAAAATCCAAACAACATTTGGCCTGAGAGAAACTGCTTGATCTAACTTTCATATGAGATAATTGTCATCATTTGATTGAGATTAATGCACTGACTGATGCTGAGATTAGACATAGAATGAAGTTATAGTTGTTTTCCATGACACTGATATCATGAAGGTAGATCACTCCAAGAAAACTAAGAACTTACTAGGAAAATAATTCCTCGTAAATTTACTATGAACTTACTTTGGTTTTACGAGGAAAACAAGTTTCCTCGTAAAGTCCTCGTAAAGTTACGAAAAAAAGTTTTCCTCGTAAGACCGTAGTAAACTTACGAGGAAACTACGTGGAAAAAGATCATTTCCTCGTAAGCTCGTAGTAAATGCTTTCCTCGTAATGTCCTAGTAAATCTTTACTACGAAATTAGTGGAAATAATCTTTTACTTCAAATTAGCGAGGAACTTGATAGAAAATATCTAATTTAAATCTAAAACGTGTTTTGTACCTACTTTTCCTAGCAATTTCCTAATAAATGCTCAGATTCGAAAATTTCTATAAGTACCACCATTTGTGATTCATTTCAAACACACAAAAAAAATCAGCTTTAAGCTTGATCAAAGATAAAAAATTATCCGGACCGGGAAATATTTTCGAGTTGTGGAAGTGGATGTATTCACACAGAGATAATAACGGGAGAGTGACGAAAGAATATCTCGAAGGGTTGGAGACGTTTATGCATCAAGCAGATTCTACACAACTCACGCATGAAAGTGGTAAGATGTTATGTCCTTGTCGGAAATGCTGCAATACAAAATTAGGCCCTCGTGAAAATGTTTGGAAGATAAATAGAGGTTTCATGCCATATTTTTATATTTGGTATCAACATGGAGAATATGCTAGTTGTAGGAATGAAGGTAGCAGTAGTAAAGCAATTTTCAAGTTGAACCGGTTGATCATTTGCGTAGTGAAAATAGCTATCATCACCAAGAGGAACAAATGGTAGATTGTGATAGGGTTCATGATATGGTAGGTGATGCATTTGTAACTCATGATGATGATGAAGTTGAAGAACCGAACTTAGATGCAAAAAAAGTTTTATGAAATGCTAGAAGCTGCGAATGAGCCAATTTACAATGGTTGTAGAAAAGGTCTGTCTAAATTGTCGTTGGCTGCTAGAATGATGAGTATTAAAACCGATCACAATCTACCTGAAAATTGTATGGATGCATGGACAGACTTGTTTAAAGAGTATTTGCCAGAAGACAATATGTCTGCTGAATCTTATTATCAGATTCAGAAATTGATATATAGTCTTGGTTTGCCCTCGGAGATGATAGACGTTTGCATCGACAACTGCATAATTTACTGGGAAGATGATGAGAAGTTAGAAGAATGTCGATTTTGTAAGAAGCCATGATTCAAACCGCAAGGTCGAGGGCGTAATAGGGTCCCGTACCAAAGGATGTGGTACCTACCAATCACATACAGTTTGAAAAGATTGTACCAATCTGAGGAGACTACTCGAGGGATGAGACGGCACGCCGAGCATACTCAGACGGATGGAGAGATGACTCATCCATCAGATGCAAGAGCCTGAAAATATTTTAACAATGTACATCCACATTTCGCTAGCAATAGCCGAAATGTGTATCTTGGATTATGCACTGATGGATTTATTCCATTTGGAATGTCTGGGAGACAATATTTATTATGGCCGGTCTTTCTTACACCGTATAACCTGCCACCGGAGATGTGCATGCGACGAGAGTTTCTATTCATGACCATATTAATACCTGGTCCAAAACATCTAAAAAGATCTCTCGACGTTTTTCTACAACCACTGATAAAAGAGTTGAAAGATTTGTGGTCAACAGGGGTGATGACATATGATTGTTCAACAAAAACAAACTTTACGATGCGAGCGATGCTTTTGTGGACCATAAGTGACTTTCCTGCATATGGGATGTTGTCTGGGTGGACTACACAAGGGAGATTAGCGTGTCCATATTGTAATGGAATGACAGATGCGTTTCAGTTGAAGCATGGTAGGAAGACTAGTTGGTTCGATTGTCACCGTCGATTTCTTCCCGTTTACCACCCATACCGAAGAAACAAGAAATTGTTCAGGCACAAAAGGGTTGTCAGAGACACTCCTCCTCCATATTTAACTGGAGAACAAATCGAAGCGCAAATCGATTACTACGGTGCTCTAGAAACAGCTCCTCGTGGTGGGAATTGGCATGTTCCCAGTAATATGCGTGATTCTTATGGTGTTCAACACAATTGACAGAAAAAGAGTATATTTTAGGAATTTCCATATTGGAAAGATCTTCTTTTGCGCCACAATCTCGATGTGATGCATATAGAGAAGAACTTTTTTGAGAACATTGTGAACACTATATTGAATGTCCCAGGGAAGACGAAAGACAACGTAAAATCGAGGTTGGACTTACCCGATATCTGCTCAAGGAGTGAGCTACATATAAAAAGCAATGGGCAAGTTCCAGTTCCAATATTCACACTTTCATAAGAAAAAAAGTCTACGTTGTTCAACTGGGTGGCTTCAGAAGTGAAGTTCCCTGATGGGTATGTTTCAAATCTCTCAAGATGTGTTGAGAAAGGGCAAAAGTTCTCCGGGATGAAGAGCCATTATCGTCATGTCTTTATGCAGCGACTACTTCCCTTTGCATTTGCAGAGCTACTACTGGCAAAAGTACATGAAACACTTTCAGGTAATTAATTAATTACTATAATACGATGATATGATTAATTTATTTCTTTATATATATATATATACTAATGTGGATAATTTTTTTTTTTGTAATATATAAGAAATTGGAGCATTTTGTAGGGATCTGAGCACCCGCACTCTTAAAGTGGAAGTTGTCCAACAACTTCATGAAAACATCCCCGTCTTAATCTACAACTTAGAGAAAATATTTCCGCCTAATTTTTTCGACGTCATGGAACACCTAGTTGTCCACCTCCAGTATGAGGCATTACTTCGTGGACCTGTGCATTATGGATGGATGTATCAATATGAAAGGGCCATGAAAACTGTGAAAGGAAAAGCCAAAAACCTAGCAAGAGTTGAAGGTTCTATTGTTGCGGGAAGTTTGACGGAAGAAAAATCACATTTCACATCGTACTACTTTGCACCGAAAGTACGTACAAGGAAACGAGCTTCAAGAAGATATGATGATGGTGGTGTCGTGCCGACATATGTGGAAGACGATGTTCCAGATATCTTTCGTCAAATTGGGAGATTGGGTGGAAAATTGAAAGAGGTTTGGTGGTCGAGTGATGAAGACGTCCATAGTGCACACCTTTATATTCTTCTTAATTGCGAGCATCCATTGATTGGTTATTTTGAAAGGTAAATATATAAACATACACACTTATATATATATATATATATTTTCCAATATTAAATAACATAACATATATGATTTTACAACCAATTTGTGACTCAAGTCAAAGAAGCAATACCTGGTATATCGACAACTGAGTTAGACATAAGAAAAGATCAACACTTTATCAAGTGGTTGAGGAAACATGTATTTATTATAGCGTAAATTTTATGCATACATTACCATAAAGTAAGTCTAATGTCTAGTTCAATTAATTACTTTGTTGCAGGTTGATTATGACGATCTTGAGTATCTCGCATGGTTTCGCGAATTACTTCAAGGTCCAGTTGCAAAGGTCACTGCATCATCGATGTATTTCAACCGAGGCTATACTTTTCATACCTATGACTATGGTAGACACCGGGCGACAAGTAATTATGGAATATGTGTGAAAGGCGAAACAAATTTCTACGGGATCTTGCACGAGATTTATGAAGTTCAATTCCCAGGTATGAGTTTGAAATGCGTTATTTTCAAGTGTGAGTGGTACAACCCCGTCGTCAACAGAGGTGTTCGGATTAACAAGAACGGTGTAGTTGATGTCAATGGTGGACGAAGGTACAACAAATTCTTTTTTTTTATATCCAGGTGTCGAGTATTAATTAAATTTTTACGTTGATCTTTATTTTTGTAGGTACAACAACTTCGAGCCTTTCATATTAGCTTCCCAAGCAGATCAAGTTTGCTTCATTCCATACCCTCGGATTACTACCTCGGGAATAAACTGGTTAGTTGTTATCAAAG